CTGCTGGGCGTCGATCCAGCCGAGCTGCGTACGGCTTTGGTGTCGCGCGTCATGCAGAGCAAGGGCGGTGGCTTCAAGGGCACGGTTATCATGTAAATTACAATTTATGAAATGCTAGTTTCGTTTCCCATTACCCTCTGCTCTATTTGCAGGGTTCCTCTGAAGATCTATGAGGCGAACAATGCACGAGATGCCTTGGCCAAGGCCATTTACAGTCGGCTCTTCGATCGCATTGTGGCTCTGATCAATCAGAGCATTCCCTTCCAGGCGTCCAACTTTTACATCGGCGTCCTGGATATTGCGGGCTTTGAGTACTTCACGGTCAACTCGTTTGAGCAGTTTTGCATCAACTACTGCAACGAAAAGCTGCAGAAGTTCTTCAACGACAACATTTTAAAGAACGAGCAGGAGCTGTATAAGCGTGAGGGCCTCAACGTCCCTGAGATCACCTTCACGGACAATCAGGACATCATCGAGTTGATCGAGGCAAAGTCGAATGGCATCTTTACACTGCTGGACGAGGAGTCCAAGTTGCCCAAGTCGTCGCCTGCTCATTTCACTGCCGAGGTGCACAAGTCGTGGGCGAATCATTATCGCCTGGGTCTTCCACGCTCATCGCGCCTCAAGGCGCATCGCACGCTGCGTGACGAAGAGGGCTTCCTCGTGCGTCATTTCGCTGGCGCCGTCTGCTACAATACGGAACAGTTCATTGAGAAGAACAATGATGCGTTGCACGCATCGCTCGAGTGCCTGGTGCAGGAGTGCGAGAATCCGCTCCTCAAGCTGCTCTTTCCATCCGGCAGCAACACCTCTGTGCGTGGCAAACTAAACTTTATCTCCGTTGGCTCCAAGTTCAAGACGCAGCTGGGCGAGCTCATGGAAAAGCTCGAGCAGAATGTAAGTGGCGAAGCCGAAAAGCCTAGCAAAAATGCATCTTATTTATTTATTGTACATCTCAGGGCACCAATTTCATACGCTGCATCAAGCCCAACAGCAAAATGGTTGATCGCCAATTCGAGGGCTGCTTGGCGCTGGCACAGCTCAAGTGCTCCGGTACCATATCCGTTCTCGAGCTGATGGAGCATGGCTTCCCGTCGCGTGTGCTCTTCGCCGATCTCTATAGCATGTACAAGTCTGTGCTGCCGCCGGAGCTGGTTTCCCTGCCAGCGCGCACCTTTTGCGAGGCCATGTTCCAGTCGCTCAACCTGAGCGCCAAGGACTTTAAGTTCGGCATCACAAAGGTCTTCTTTAGGCCTGGTAAATTTGTGGAATTCGATCGCATCATGAGATCTGATCCGGAGAATATGCTGGCCATTGTGGCCAAGGTGAAGAAGTGGCTGGKGCGCTCGCGCTGGGTCAAGTCAGCGCTGGGCGCACTTTGCGTCATCAAACGTAAGTCATTTGCACTCCAGAGATGTTTTCTTTAATTGACCCATGTTTCCATTTAGTGCGCAATCGCATCATCTTCCGCAACAGGTGCGTACTGACGGCCCAGCGTATCGCACGCGGCTTTCTGGCGCGCAAGCAACATCGTCCACGCTACCAGGGCATTGCCAAGATCAACAAGATTCGGACCAACACCTTGAAGACCATCGAAATTGCCAGCGGTCTAAAGCTGGGACGCGACGAAATTGTCGGCGGTGTCAATGATATATACAAGCAGATCGATGATGCCATTATGAAGATCAAAGTGAGTTCCCTGTGATTCCATATTGCTCATGCATCATGTGTTTGCTGACCTACTCTCTGTCTTTCTCTCTATCCCCAGCTAACTCCGAGAATTACCCAGCGCGAAATTGACTCCATGTACACGGTGATCATGGCCAACATGAATAAGCTGACAGTTGATCTGAATAACAAGTTGAAGGAGCAACAGCAGGCGGAGGAGCAGGAGCGACTGCGCAAGATACAAGAAGCTCTCGAAGCGGAACGTCGTGCCAGAGAGGCGGAGGAGCAACGTTTGCGCGAGGATGCCGAAAACAAGCGACTGTTAGTCCTGTTAAGTTACTAATCAAAACACAATTTATTTAGCATTTACTTTAATCTACAGCAAAGTCGAAATGGAAACCAGACGCAAGCTGGCCGAAGCTCAACGTATGCGCCAGGAGGAAGAGGATCGACGTGCCGCCTTGGTGCTGCAGGCGCAGCTGGAGAAAGAGGCCAAGGATGATGCCAAGTATCGACAGCAGCTCGAACAGGAGCGACGCGATCACGAATTGGCGCTGCGCTTGGCTAACGAATCCAATGGCCAGGTGGAGGATAGTCCTCCCGTCATACGCAAGTATGTGTTTGCAAGCCCAAAAAGAATAGATATATATGTGTATAGCATATATATAATGGATTAGGCACTTGTAGACATGGTGCAGGTGAAGAGAGAATTGTATAGGAGAGAAAGACGAGTGAGAAAGCCTTTTTAAAGAGTGTGAGAATGTGAATTGAAAATCTTGCTTAGCTTAATGTTTGTATATATGAGCTAGGCTATTTATTATAATTATTATGTATCTATATCTATATGTATATGTATATGTATATTTGATGAAGACTCACCAAACTTTCTCCCGTTCCCCCCTTACACGCCTACTTCTTGTACACCAACCACATCCCAACACACACAACCAACAAAACAAACACAGTGGTGGTCTGAGTGACGCGTCTCCCGTGGGTTCCAACAAACTGATCAGGTATAGCACACTTTATAATTTACTTTCATTTTATTGTTGTATCAAATTAAAAATTGTTCTCTTGCTTTCTACTGCTTTTACTCAATAACTAATTGGATTGTAAACAACAAAAACAAAATATCTTTTACCTTCTGCTTTACTTTTCTATATATACTATTTATATTTGATGAACAAGTTTTTCACAAGTTGTGTCAAACATTGCTTCGCGATATTTGAATAAGTGAGTTGGTGCTGGTTTTTGACAACTTTTATAACAACTAAACAAATAACTAACACTATATAAAGTATCATTCATACTAATTAAATTGTAATATTTGTGATATATTTATTGGCTTCAGTTGTAGAACTTTTTAACATTTCTTATAAACTCTTTTGTAAACAAAAATAAGCATTGAAATCCATCTATAACTCACTTTGATTTTTTCCATGCTTTCCATTAATATATATAATCAAAATTATTGAAGATTAATAAATCTCTAACGTTCCCAGATCGGAGAACGTGCGCGCACAACAGCAAGCGCTTGGCAAGCAGAAGTACGACTTATCCAAGTGGAAATACTCGGAACTACGCGATGCTATCAACACGTCCTGTGATATTGAATTGCTTGAGGTAATGAGCAGAGCGTGCCTAATTGTATATGCATTTCAAATGAATTATTTTTCTCATCCATTGCAGGCCTGTCGCCAGGAGTTCCATCGTCGCTTGAAGGTCTATCATGCCTGGAAGGCAAAGAACCGCAAACGCACCACCATGGATGAGAATGAGCGTGCACCACGCAGCGTCATGGAGGCCGGTAGGTGTCAAACATATGATTACAGACATTAGCTCATGATCTAACGAAGGCCTTACAGTCCGAGTAAAGCAAAATGTATTTTATAGTTTCTTAAAGTACTAGTACTTATTTGAAACCCTTTAAATATCATTATCTATCGACTGTTGGATTGAGTTTATAACGGCATAAGTCTATCTGACAAAAATGTAACTAGATTTTGTAATTTTATTATATATATAGATTTCCCTTCCTATAACTTTATAGTCTATCGATCACATATCCTAAAGTATGCTTACCCAATTATAGAGTTAGATTATAGCGAGTTATATTAGACTGTTTTCGGCCTGTGGTGTTGAATTGGTTTAAATATATTTAATAAATTCATTTTGCATATATTCACAGCCTTTAAGCAGCCGCCTATTGTGCAGCCCATACAGGAGATCGTGTCAGCACAGCATCGCTATTTCCGCATACCCTTCATGAGAGCCAATGCGCCCGATAATAGTAAGTGCTAAGGAGTTCTTTAAGTATATTTTATTAATCTCTCTCTCTCTCTCCCTCTCTGCTATAGCCAAGCGCGGCTTGTGGTATGCGCACTTTGATGGCCAGTGGATTGCTCGGCAAATGGAGCTGCATGCGGACAAGCCGCCAATCCTGCTCGTTGCCGGCACAGATGATATGCAAATGTGTGAACTGAGCCTCGAAGAGACCGGACTGACACGCAAACGAGGTGCTGAAATTCTGGAGCACGAATTCAATCGCGAGTGGGAACGCAATGGGGGCAAGCCGTACAAGAACCTGGGTACTAAGCCGAATGGAGCTGGCATTTAAATCGAGATCACAGTTAAAACTAAATTGTGAACGTAACGAAAGGATAGAAACCATTGGGAAAAGGAAATAAGATAAAGGAAAGAATAACCAACACCGTTTGACAAATCCAAATTTGCAGTCTAAACGAAATTCCATAAATATTTTTGCATAACTTTTGATAAGAACTACGTCCAAAAATCGATGGCTATAAAAGATAAAACATAAATTTATAAATGTCAACAGATCTTTTTTCTATATATGTACGTATATATGTATACATTTCAATTGCGAATGGATTTCGTTTTCATCGCCCAGCTGCATGTGGGGGCCACGCATACATTTTGCATACCTTTACATCGGTATTCCATGTGTATGAGCATTTTTTTTCAATTAGTTAAGCGAGTGTCTAATACGCGATATAAACCAGGAAATGGCAAGTTGTATTTAGTGTCTAATGAAATTCTATTTAAATGTGTATTTACTTATATAATTGCATATATATTTTACAGTATTTTAAATTAAATATTAAATGCTCGAAATATGGTGTGTTTTTTAATGTGTCTTTAGACCAATTTAACTAACGTATGAATGTGGCGATTTCATCTTCTATTTTTGTCAATTTGAATTTAGCGGCAAATGCGCAACTCAAATTTGCGTTTGTGTCAGCTGTTTTTACTTTATCGATACTTATCGATAGCTATGCACAATAGCTATAAGCTGTATTAGTCAGGTGGCAACCACGCTGCACGTGTGTTTGTTTACAAAAATGTCACGCAAAACATGGAAATCCTTGGACAAGCCGCCGCTTTCACAGCCCGTCCTCGAGGTGCTGCAGGGGTTTGGCTTTGATCTAATGACACCTGTGCAAACGGCATCGATTCCATTGCTGTTGGCACGCAAGGATGTCTCCGCCGAAGCTGTTACGGGCAGTGGCAAAACGCTGGCGTTCCTCGTGCCTATGCTAGAGATTCTGCAGCGTCGCCACAATGAGACGCCCTGGACAGCAAAGGAGATTGGTGCACTGATCATATCGCCCACACGTGAGTTGGCGCGACAGATATCCGAGGTGCTTGCCCAGTTCCTGGCACACGAACAACTGGAGCACCTGAATCAACAGCTCATCGTCGGCGGCAATAGCATTGAGGAGGACATCGCCGCTCTGAAGCAGCAATCACCATGTATACTGGTGTGCACGCCTGGACGTCTAGAGGATCTGTTTCAGCGCAAAGGCGACGACCTCAATTTGGCTTCGCGTGTGAAGAGCTTGGAATTCCTGGTCCTCGACGAGGCGGATCGCCTGCTCGACTTGGGCTTTAAGACGAGTGTCAACAACATCTTAGGCTATCTGCCTCGCCAGCGACGCACTGGTCTCTTCTCAGCCACACAGACCACCGAGGTAACTGACCTGATACGTGCCGGCCTTCGCAATCCTGTGCTGGTCTCCGTCAAGGAGAAGGCTTCCGTTAATACCCCAGCGCGTCTACAGAATTTTTACAGGATTGTGGAGCCGGAACAAAAGTTTCTCTCGCTGCTGCAGTTCCTACGCTCGCCCACCTCCAAGACCGGCAAAGTTATGGTCTTCTTTCCCACCTGCGCTTGCGTCGAGTACTGGGCAGAGATGCTGCCGTCGTTTCTGCCCGATCGCCAGGTCCTGGGCATCCACGGCAAGATGAAGAACAAGCGGGCCAATGTAGTGGAGCGTTTCCGCACCGAGGCAAACTCGGTGTTGCTGTGCACGGATGTTTTGGCGCGTGGTCTGGATGTGCCCGAAATCGAGTGGGTGGTGCAATGGGATCCTCCGTCCAATGCTTCGAGTTTCGTGCATCGTGTGGGACGCACCGCTCGGCAAGGCAACGAGGGAAACGCTTTGGTATTCCTGCTGCCAACCGAGGATGCATATATCCAGTTCCTAAAGCTCAATCAGAAAGTTGACTTGAGCGAACTGCAAGAAGAATGCATTGAAACAGACGAGGCTGAGCTGAGGTCAACGGTGGAGAAACTGCATCAGCTGCAGGCCGCTGATAAAGGTGCCTACGACAAAGGCATGCGAGCCTTTGTATCCCATGTGCGAGCCTACACCAAGCACGAGTGCAGCGCTATATTGCGGCTGAAGGATCTGGATCTGGGCAAAATGGCAACGGCGTATGGACTGCTGCAGCTGCCGCGCATGCCAGAGCTGAAGAACTACCAGGGCAATGGATACATTGCGCCCAGCTTCGAAGTGGATCTCACCAAGCTGACCTACAAGAATGCGCAGAAGGAGCAGGTGCGCAAGCAGAAGCTGCAGACGTTCGAGCAGACGGGCACTTGGCCAGGACGCCAGAAGCAACACATGAAACGAACCGAATCCTGGGATCAGACAAAAAAGGCCAAGCTGGATGCCAAGTCGAAGAAGGAGTTGAGAAAGGCGAAGAAGCAGCGCAAGCGCGAAGCGGCAGCAGCCGAGGGTGGGGCGCAGCGCAAACGCAAGCAGCAATACACACAGGAGGACCTGGAAGAACTGGCCAGCGATATTCGTCTATATAAGCGGCTCAAAAAGAAGAAAATCACCGACGAGGACTATGACAAGGCCATGGGCATTGATGGTGTTGACGACTAGGAAGATGTGTAGTTTAATGTAAATAATTAAGTGTACAAACAATAAACTAGAAATAGTTTTTATGAGCGACGATAGTTTAGTGTACTTGCTCGTGCCACACATACACTGATACATATGCATGCAAATGGGACAAGAATAAACTTTTCACCACTCTCACACAGAACTCTTAGTACTTGCTCAACTGCACCTCCACTCTTGGTGAGCGTCGAGTGACGATAGTTAACTCCAATGCCTTTCCTCGAATCGAGTATCACCACTAATCATACACATATACATACACATTCAAATGGAACAAGAATTAACTTCTTACCATAGCTTCGTATTTGCTCGGCTGCTCTTGCGCAGTTGACGAGCCAGGGACCTGAAAGCCACAAGCACAGTACGATCAAGAGAGATGAGCGCTATCTATCTCTTAATTCCACAGCGTCTAAATGTAAATGTGTTTGCTTAACTCTTCTCTTAATTTAATGCATGTACAGAAACTCTTAGCTACTGCTATCAAGGGAGATGACTGCACGCCCTCTCCTTTTTGTACTCCTTCTCTTAAATGAAAGTATTTATGTACACACACACAAATATGCCTAAGCAGCAATGCAGAAAGAGAGAAGAAAGTTTAGTCTAGCTGTTCAAAGACGTACACACATACGTATGTGTGTGGTTGAACATACTTGTGTTATTTCCTTTATTTCCAATTAAAAGAACTACGATTTTTACTAATTTACTTTTACAAATGCTTATTTGGCAGCATCCTGATTGGTTGCTCCAGAAATAAATACCAATAGGACTACAGGCACAATATACATCCAGTATTTAGCAAAGAAGCCCCTATTGTCGCGCACCTCGCCGCGCTCTCTGGCCTCACGCTCACGCTCGAACTTCTGTATAAAGCTGCCAGTGTCCGGAACCGGTGCCAGTTCGGCATGTCGAATGATAACATCAGAGCTGAAGTTTTTCTCGTTGATTTGCTGCGTATTCTCGGCGGTGCATTCTGAGATCTTTGGTGCGGGATCCTGGGAGGTAGTGATGCCCGTCACATAGCCATTGGGATCTAGTGATACCCATAGAACATCATTGAACTGGGCCAGCAGCAAACTGCACGCTTTGCTGGAGGTCAGGAAGCGCTGGCTACTGCCATTGGGATATGTGACCGTTGCCCTCAGGCGATAGAATCCATTCTGACGTGCCAGAACCTTCAGGCTTTCAAGCTCGCTGTCCGTTAATGGATTTTGCACAATTGTCGACAGTCCCGCATTCAGACTTGGTATGGAGATATTACCGCGGTGCGAGAAATGCTCTGGCCTGGCAGGCGTCAAAGCATGGTGCAAATCAATATTTATCCAGCCATCATGTTCCAAGAAGCCCCAACCACTTGCAAAGAAGCTGACCAGAACGATTAATAAATAGCTTAATCTTAAATGCATCTTCGTTAATATGGATTCTGTTTGTTTTTGTCTGAAAAGGCAATGTTTTTATAGAAGTTTTTCGAAGGATGGTTCTAGTAATTACTTACGTCCGAATTTCTTTAACAAGTCATTAAACTGCAGCCCATATGATTTGCGGTATATTTATATCGATAGAAACCGGTGGTATTCAATTGTTGCTGCCAGCGTTGAGCGTCGATATATTAGCTGACATTTGTAGCATAGACATAAATTTTAGGAGTATCTAAAAATTTGAATGAGACAATTGATTCAATGCCTATTTATATTTATATTTTGTTCTTTTAATTTCCGCATTCCCGGCTTATCGGCAGTTACCAATCGCAATTAATCGATTATGTATCGAGCACGTGGATTAATCGATAACAGAGTAAAGAGTTTCTTAAAGTTTGTGTTTTGGTAACACAGCTTAATTAAATATATTTTTATACATAACGAGTGGATTTTACGGTTCCACAAAACGGCGGCTCGATGGGAAAAACGTCGAAGGATAAACGGGACGTTTACTATCGTCAGGCCAAAGAGGAGGGCTGGCGAGCACGCAGTGCATTCAAATTGATGCACATCAACGATCAATTCGGCGTTTTGGATAGTAAGCTGTTTGATATTTGTTTACCATAATGGAGAATCAGTCAGTCAGGCATAAGTTTTTTGCAGATGTGCAACGAGCGGTCGATCTGTGCGCTGCACCCGGCAGCTGGTCCCAGGTGCTCTCGCGCAAGCTCTACGATTGCTGCCTGACCGACGACCAGAAGTCGGAAGTGAAAATCGTCGCAGTTGATCTGCAAGCGATGGCGCCAATCCGTGGGGTTGTCCAGCTGCAGGGCGACATAACCAAGCAGAGTACAGCAAAGGCGATAATTTCGCACTTTAATTATGGCGATGACAAGAAGGCGCAGCTAGTCGTCTGCGATGGGGCACCGGATGTGACCGGCGTCCACGAAATGGATGAGTATATGCAGAGCCAGCTGATAATCTCGGCTCTGAGCATTGCCACCTTTGTGCTGGAATCAGGCGGCAGATTCGTGGCAAAGATATTCAAGGGCAATGCCAACTGCATGCTCGAATCAAGATTACTCTCATTCTTTAACAACTTCCAAATCTACAAGCCGCCTAGCTCGCGACCATCGAGCAATGAGGCGTTCGTCGTGTGCTGTGGCTTCCGGCTGCCGCCTGGCTATATTCCACAAGTCATAAATCCGGCTCGGGATGATTTTCGACAAGAAGCCCGCCTAACGGGCTCAGCGATCAATCAGCGTCTGGTCCCATTTATTGCTTGTGGCGATTTGAATGGATGTACGGATGAAGACGATGAAGATTTCAACTTGGAAGATCTTGAAATGACCTATGATGACATGATAAATGATGTCGATTTTCCAAGTGAATTTAAGGACGAGCTAGAGCCGGTGCTGTTGGGAGAAATCGCTGTACGGAGCGCAGAACGTGCTTGGTAGATGATCCCAACCTTGACTACATCTATTTTGATAATTCTAATTAAACATAATCGGACCCTTACAACTCACTTGCATAAACAGCTTTTTATTGGACATAGTATGACATGACAATGCTAACTGGTAAACAAAACTTGGGCGCCTCTAATACTAAATGGGATGAAAAACGTAAATGTGTTCAGGTAAACTCTTCGCATAGGTCTAGATCCAGCCGTACTTTAGGCGGCGCCATCGACCACAATCTGTAGAATTGTACGCCGCTTGGGATCGTAGGAGAAGCCATTGGAGCGAAACAGTTCCGAGTCGTAGAATGATTTCAGATTGGTAATGTCCAGCTGCTTGGCTCGCTCCAGCAGATCGCGCTCCATGATCTCCACGTGCGTGGCACTGGGCCCGTCCTTGCAGCGTATGTAGGCCAGCTGATCGAGCGTCAGTTGGCGCAAGATGAAGAAGAGCAGCTCCGAGTGGTCCTTCTGGAAGGCCAAATACTTCTGGAATGTGGTGCGCATCTTCTTCATCACGCTGAACTTCTGCGCCTCGATGAAACTCTCGAGCATCATGCGTATGGCCATGCTAACGTCTGCCTCCATCACATTCTCGCGCAGATGCAGGCGGGCATGAGCCTCCGACATGCGGATGACGCTCTCAATGTGACGCACCGTAATGGGCAGCGAGCCTGTGGCGAAGGATTCCTGTCGCAGCTGCGAGTACATCTTGGCAATCTTGTCCTCATCAATGTTCTAGAAGAAAGATGATTATAATTAAGTCAGTGAGATATTCCAGTCTAAATATAGTATGTGGACTCACGGTTAGTTTGGGTCGGATATTCTCCTTGGCATAGACAATGTATTGGCGCAGCAAATCCTGTGGTATTTCCTCCACATTCTTCAGCTGCGGCTCCTCCAGCTCAGGCGGCTCCTCCTCGCTGGGATGGTGCTTCATATGTGAGTGCACCACAAACTTAGCTAGCTGCTGGTCCTGCATGGGATCAAACTCGTCCTTGACCACACACAATATGTCGAAACGAGACAGAATCGGCTCCGAGAGATTCACATTTTCCGAAAAGGTCATCGAGGGATCATAGCGACCGCCAATGGGATTAGAGGCAGCGATCACCGTACAACGTGCCTGAAGCGAGGTGACAATGCCAGCCTTTGATATGGATATCGATTGCTGCTCCATGGCCTCGTGTATGGAGGTACGATCCTGGTCGTTCATCTTGTCGAACTCATCTATTAGACAGACGCCCTGGTCGGCCAGCACCAATGCGCCCGCCTCCAAAGTCCACTCCTTGGACACGGGATTGCGACGCACGTAGGCGGTCAAGCCCACAGCGCTGGCTCCCTGGCCGGTGGTGAATACGGCACGCGGTGCTATCTTCTCTGTGTACTTCAAGAATTGCGACTTGGCCGTGCCTGGATCACCGCAGATGAGCATGTTGATGTCGCCGCGCACCTTGTGTTTCTCGCCCGGATTCTTGGACTCACCACCGAAGAGAGCCAAGGCCAGAGCACGCTTGATATAGTCGTGGCCGTAAATGGATGGCGCCATCGAAGCTACTATGCGATCGGCAATGCGTGGATCTTTGCTCAGCTTCTGGATGGTGGCAATGTCCTCATCCGTCAGCGACTGCACCACCTGCTTGGAGTCCTTGACCACCACATGGTTGGCTATGATGACCGTTGCAAAGACAGGGAAGCCCTGATCCGTGTTCAGCGAGCCGTCATAGTTGTTCGTATAGATGCCCGTGACCTCCAGCTCATCGCCTGGTTTGCACTGATCGCACAGATCCGCGAGCAGGATGACATCCTTGCTGCGTGGTATGCGACCGGCGGGTATGCGACCCGGCGACTCCTGCAGCGTTATCTTCTGATAGTTGCGATACAGCGTTTGCTCCATGTTAATGGAGAAGGGACCCGTGCTCTGACACTCGGGACAGGAGCCCGGCTTCACCTCCGTGTTCTGCGACTGCACAAATGGACCCAGCACATAACCGCACTTAACGCAATCGTACTTGATCACTGAGAGCTGGGGAAGGACGCCCGTTGTGGCTGTAACTACGCCCAAGGTGCGAACGAGCTGATTCAGATGCAGCTTACGGAAGGTGCGCAGCTCCTCGATCAGC